GCATTTACCTCTTGGGATATGCTTATCATATGATATCATTCATTGCATGAATTTTCATGAGTTTTATTAGTTGCATGACATTCATTGCATTTAATAAGTGTGTTGTTCATTTAATCATGCATTGCATTTAAAGCATCTAGTTCATTTAGGGAAGTAGTTCATTTATGCATATTTAGATAATATAGTAAGCTACTTCATTCATGCATCTAGTTCATTAATTAAATTAGTTAATTCATCAAACTAGTTCATTTATTAAACTAACTCTTAATTGTTCCATGCATGTTTTCAGTTAAAGATTGAATAAAGTTCACCTTTGTGTCTAGGTGCATGAGAGAAGTTGATATGTTTCAACAAATGCAAGAATATCAATTAGAATGTCTTCTAATTTTGGATATGATACAGATGTTTTTAGGTCCAGAAATCATTTGGAAATTGTTCCTCTATCTTTTATATTTCCAAAGACTTTTGAATCTACTCAATACAATTTCGGGAGCTTGAGATATGATCCATTTACTGAGGACAATGCATGATGGAATTTTCATTACGGGAATTTTATACAAAGATGGTTTGGATGAGTTTGAGCCAAGGAAAAGTCCTTTCATCTTCTACCAAGAGACAAGCAATTTATGGCCATCTTAATCCACCAATTCAAGGTATTCAAGGTTGATGTTATCACCCATTGAAGTCCATTCACGTTCAAGTAAGGGGAGATGCAATAACCAGCATTCAAAACTTAGCATTCAAGGCCTTTATCATATTTTGAAGGATGGTCATATTCTACAAGGGAACAAGCAATGAAGGCTGAGTTTATTTCATTTAATCATCAAATTAAGTGATAAAATTAGCAAGGAATTTGAAGAGACAAGTTGATTTGGACATGTAGGATGTCCACATTCATCATATGACTTCATTTATCCTCTTTTCTTCCGTTTGCAAGCAAAGCAAGGCATCCCAAGAGTCACCCCTCCTTTTTGGACTAATTTATGGCTAGAATTATCTAAAATTAAAGTTTACATGGTCATCCATCAAAGGATAAGAGGAATGACAAGTCATTTAATTGAATTAAATTACATTTAAGTGATTGATTTATTTTAATTGTAAAAACTCTTCATATAGTGCCTATCAACACTATAAATAGGCACCTCCATTGCATTTGTACTTAGAACCTTTTGCATAATAAACTCTTTGAAAGGTTGCTTTCATTTTAGTTATTGGAATAGAACTATATCGGTTTCTTGTCAGTCTTGAAGCCTTCATCCATTTCATTTTATTATAACATTGGTTCCTAGCTCACCTATATCTAGTGGGTCACGTTTCATCCTCTTACACCTCAATTCCATCATATTATATTGTTGGTTCTTAGCTATATATATAACTAACGGGTCACGATCCATCCTTTGAATTTCTATCATCCTCTTCGCCGACTACAACCCTCTTTCACCATTTTCATTATATTTATTCAATCATTATCACCGCCCCACTTCCTTCATTTGCAAACCACTTCAACTTCATCCACGTCCTTTTCAATTTCATTCTTAATATGTTTATCTCATATTCACAATGTTAATTTTGTACTTTCATAATCATTTCAAGCACTAAGGAGTTTCTTACTAGAATCACGATCGGGCAACAACGTATATGACTCAAAACACAAAATCGAGATCATACCACTTACTATCTCACTAAAAATGTGGGCGTTATGAAACTGATCGATACTATTCTTACCAATATGGTGGATACAAAATATGGGATATGCATGTGGAGGTATCCAATGACTTCCTGGTCATTCAATTGGCACTAAAATACCTGTTCCTCGATCATATATCAAGCAAAATCCATATTCTCAAACAACATATTGACATAGATTGGTCAAAAAGAAATCCCATGCCTCTGTTGTCTCTCCTTCAACAATGGTGAATGCAATTAGGAAGATATTTCGTTCACCATCTTGCACAACTGCCATCAACAATACATGTTTATATTGAAAATACAACCATGTATCATACACTTGGACTATACATTTGAAAAATGGAAATTCTTCTATGCATGACTTGAATACCCAAAAGAGTTTATGAAATATTTTCTTCCCTGGACCAAGTTGGCCTTATTCTTCATATGTAAGCATGGTTTGAGACTTCACTATGGTTCCTGGGATGAATCGCTTCATTTCTTGTAACAAATGTGGTAACTCATTTTACTATGTATCCCAATCTCCATATGTCAGCTTCATTGCCCTCATTTTCGCATTCCAAACCTTGTCGTATTTTACTTGGTATCCAAATTAGCTTCGAACAGATGCAGCTAACACTGAACAAGGGGTCATTTGATTCTTATCAACCAACACCTTTACCTATTCACATATTACATTGGAGTCTAATAGTTGGTGCTCTTGTTCGATTGAGTTTCGCAAACATGTGTGAGGACTATTGTACTTTGTGATGATCGAAGCATTGTGCCTCTGAATTTTGGACACTCTAATATTCTACTTGCACTCTGGGCTATATTTAACAAACTTTTCATATATGGTTTTTTAGTTGGACTCCGCAACATGGACATCAGCATGGCCTTTGATGCAATACTCTTTAATCGCCAGCGTAACATCATATTTTCTTCTAAATTGCATCCCAACCAAAAATTCACAAGAATTTTTGAATGATTCAACCATGTGGTATGGAGGTATATATGGCTTGTCTGGGAATTCTAGTGCCCTCACCGTATCATAGTCTATCTCGTACATGTGAAGGTTAGGTTGATACGGTGTCAGAACTTCATCAGTGGCCAGGTTAGGTGCACCACCACAGCCAAAATTATAATCGTCATCCAAAATAGATTCCTTATTTTCTTCATCTTCGTTGGAATCATCATGGATTTCTCCCCATTGATTTTCAGCATCAACATCAACAATCAATTCTGAGTTATATATGTTTCTATCCTCATACTCTATAGTTGTGGATGTTACACCAACTTCATTTCCACTTTCCAATAGCACCAAAAATTTGTTTATCGATATGTATGTTGGGTCCTCAAACTCACTTCTGAAAGCCATTTGAGATGAATCTCCAACCATATTTCTTGATGACCCAGGAATATCAGATATCTTACGCACATCAACAAATAACTCAATAACTACAATATTTGTTATCTCATGTAATCCAATCATGGTTCTAATATCATCATATTCTTCTACTGGTACTTCACAATATCTAATTGGATTGGGACATACCATGAACATGTACTTCAAACCATCAATTGTAACTCGGATTTTCATTTCTATCATCTGCTTCATTTCTACAATTGTGATGTCACTTTTGAACATCATATTTATAGGTCTTTCAGAGTGAAAAACAACTCCGACCTCATTTTCCATAATATGTTCATTATAATAGACAATCGTGAAAAACTTGTTGCTCGTTTTCTCTACAAATTCAAAATTTGTATTTAGAATAACAAAATTATGGTATACTATGATCATAAATCGTAAAATTGATATTATACAATATAAAAATAAGATTAACATAACAATAATCGTAAAAATAACAAATATTTATAAAAATAATATTAACATAATAATCAATAGTCAAATACCTCAAATAAAATTTCTTCAAGCTTAATTCACCTTCTTTCTACAAAAGAATTAACAAACTATCACACTAATTTCAGACAAAATAACATAAATTTAAACCAATGTGCCATATAATACATGGCTGAATTTTTAGAATAATGCAATCGAAAAATTCGTAAAAAAAACAACAATAACAACAAAAAATACCTTCTTGTTCATCTTCTCCTTTAAACCTAATCTATTATATTTTTAAGTTAAATTCAAGATAATTTATTTTTTAAAAACTAAATTCCATTCAAACTAAACAACATTAATTAATTAAATAATCACTTTAATAAATCAAATAAATTAAAATTTATTGTCTACATTATTCATCTTATTTTATAAATAATATAGATTTTAAAAAAGAAAACTAACCGGATTAAATTTGTCGAATAATGTAGCATAAACCGACTTTAACTTTCTTCTTTTCTTCTTCTTTCTTCCTCTTTTCTCTTCTTTCTTCCTTTTTTCTCTTCTTTCTTCTTCCCTTCTTTCTTTCACTCCCGGTTTAACCCTCCTTCCCTACATCCTATATATATATATATATATATATATATATATATATATATATATAAAACCCAACCCCAACCATCTCTCCCTCCCTCACATTATTGATGCAATAGTGGCAGTATTATTACTGCCTGAGGTCGCAGTCTACATGCATGGCAGCCTTCACGTGATTCGCATGCAGGGGGAGTCGCACAGATTTCAATGCATCTTCGTGGGGTAGGGGAGTCGTATGGGTTTCCATGCGTCTCCCAGGGGTTTTTGGTCCACGTAGAAGTAGCGCATGAGGCATGCAAGGGGTGATATGGAAAACCAGACAGTGTTGGCACAGTGGAGGTGAGAGACACATTGTAGGCATGGCGTCTCCCCTTGGTCTCATGGATCACCGTGCAACTCCCCGGTGTACTGTAGCAATCACCCCATTTGAAGAATTAATCTCAAATGTCCATTATTTTACGAAATAAAAAACTAAAATGTATTATTCTAAAAAAATATAGTCAATTCTTCCACTTATCAAAATCTTTAAATATTTATATTATTCGATTAGTATAATTCCTTAATAAGATCATTGGTAAGTCCATTAGATCTATCATGACCAAATATATTATTCGACAATTGTATCTATTTATTTTGGATAATCATCATATTTTTAGATCTCACACTAGTATTAAGAGTCAAAATATAAACCTATAAGACTGAAAAGAGTATTTCTCTTTCTGAACACTTAATTGTTTATCTTCTTGAGCTTACATCCTCTATTATATTTTAAAATCACTCGTCCCGACTCTTTGCTTAAAACAAATCATCTACAATTGTCATAATCTACGTTTGGTCATCAATACTAGGATGTAAATGAACTGAGTCGAGCTTGAGTATTATTGAGCTTGACTCGAAAACTTTGAAATGGAGTTCGAATCGTGTCAAAAACTTACGAGCCTAAAATTTTCAAGCATGACTCGAACTCGAAATCATGAATAGAAGCTCGAAAAACTTAAAAAAAATTGAAATAAAAAAAATCTTAAACTGATTAAAGCTCAAACTTGAACTCGAAGTTGAATCTTAAGTACATTTATCATGTATTTTTTTTAAAAACAATTAACACATAAATGTTAATATTATTAATAATTTAATTATTAAAAATAATATTTTAATATATTATTTTTTCGAGTTGCTCGCAAACTTTTCGAGTTGCTCGCAAACTTTTCGAGCCGAGTATGAAGTAGTTCGTTTCGGCTCATTAAGAACTCGAGTTTTAGTCAAATATTTATTAAATTTTAATCAAGTCGATTTTGAGTAGCTCGCGATCTGACTTGTCTCATTTACAGTCCTAATCAACACCAATTCACTGATTAAACTAAGGTTTGCTAAATTGATGATTTCTACATGCTGGAATTTTAAGGTACTTAAAAAATAACAAACCATATATTCCTACTTCAACAACCATAACATTATTAGCAATGGAAGTTGGTAGCTGTCGGATTCTCCTAATTGAATTGGAGACGATTCTCTTCCATCATTTTCATTAAATATTTATATTTGATACTCATATTTAATCATATATATAAAGAAAGGACATGATGTTGTTATACAATGTAACTCTCATAGTTTTACACGGATTTGAGACAGTTAAGTGATTAAAAATAGATGGTAGAGATTAATTGTAAAAAATGATAAGATATTCACTAAAAACAAAAGAATCAATCTAAACCATCTATTTTCACTCATCCAACGATTCAAAATTTATATAAAACTAAATAACTTTACATTGTGTAAGTAGATCTTAACCATATATATATATATATATATAAACCCATGGAGAACTTCTAATAGAATAATGATTCTTATGTCACAAATTTAGTTGAACTCTCTTAACCTCTATGTTAAAAGAAAAAATAACCCTAAAACTCTGGTTTTCAAGGCTAAAAAAAACAGGTAAAGGTGCATTTTTGGACCCTCTGCTATGACCAAAAGAGAAAAATGATATTTTCACTCTGCTGCTACTGCAACCTTCAATGGGGCTAGCCTCGCTTGCTGCTGGTCCCGGTTCGATCTTATGGCTTCTTGAACGGCTAAAAATAGCCGCCGATCAGCCGATGAAACCATTGCAATAGACCTTTTTATTGGCTGAACTACAAACTGTTCATCTTTGTCTCTAATGTCAATGCATTCATCTCCCATGCTTGTCCCCTTAGCTTTCTTCTGCAACAATCTTTGGTCCAACTTCGACGGAGAAGGACTAATTGAACGAGTCGATAACTCCGCTGTGTTCACCGAGCTCAATCTTTATTGAGCATCAAACAACGTTTGATATGTGTTGTTACTTATTTCGATCACCACGAAATCTTCATTGCCATTGATGATGGTCTCAGTGTATGGATTCGGATCTTGTGGGGTTGAGCTCAGAGCAATGACGGGATCGTCGGCTCTGAACCGGCATTGGCTCGAGACGCTCGTTCAACAAAGGGGACAATTTGCATTGTTTTGAAGCCAAACGTCGATGCAATCGATGTGGAAAACATGGCTGCAATTCGGTATCATCCTCAGCTTCTCATCCTGCTCGAATTCGTTCAAGCAAACAGCACATTCGCAAAAGCTTCTCTCTTTCGAATCTTTATCGAACCGAAATATCGGGATTCACCTTATAACAGATTCATCAAGCCCTCCGTGTCGTCGTCGATCTATCGCTGGGGAGTACGACATTAAAGTGTCTTCGTATCATCCTCGAGACAACGAGAATAGCCTCAGAAGATCAATCCTTCTCCAATCGAGACAACAACACTTGATGAAGAAGATGTAATAGCTGAGCAACAAGAAGGCTGTTGCTAAAATTCCCAACATGGCAATGAATATGATGGGGAAACTTGTGTCTGAGGAATGGGGATGAGACACCAAGACGGAGCTCCCTGGACTTAAGTATCTGGTTTTTCTTACAAGATCAATTAAAAAACAAGAACTGTTTTTTTTTTCAGACAATGCAAAGAAAAGAGTTTACTTGGATCTTGTTAAATGCTTGAAATCCATTGAAACATAAAAAAAAAAACCAGCATTGAATGGGTTGAAGATAGATTTGAGAAAAGAGACAGGTGAAGGAAAGAACATGGAGAAGAGAGGAAGAAACCAGTCAGATTATAAATGAGGGAGGTGTTAAAAGGGTACAAGAAAAAGGCTATATTATATACCGAATTAAATTAAGGTAGGGTTGTTATTCTTAAAAGTTCTGAGTGATATATTTAGTATCAGATCTAAATATATTTTTTAAGGTGAACACGCATACATTAACAACATCAATTTTTTTAAATGAGTGTGTAAAAAAAATTTCAATATGGATATTGTTAATAAAATAAATAACTAATAAAAGAAAACTCAAATTTCATAGGGTACACAATCCCCACATTACACAATATATATTTGTAACTGCTATTTGTATGAATTAATTGATCGAATGTTTAATCTTTTATTTATATAATATTTTAAAAATTTTATGTGATTAATATATATATTCCACCAACGGAGTTGGTTTAAATGATAATCAATTTGATATCAATTAAGCATGTCTTGAGTTCGAGGCTTTACGTATAAAAAATCCCCGCTAAAAGAAGTATATGACACTAATCAATCCGAATTAATCAGGATAACAAATATATATATATATATATATATTCTGAAGAAGTAAATCAGCCCAACAGTTCTAATTGGCTGGTCAAATTCCCAAATTAAATCGGATAAAAATTTTGCAATAAATTTACAAAATGGCCACATGGAGGGGCCTTTGGAACAACTGTTGAAGAGAGCAGTTTACTTGGGGAAAAGAGTTGGATTCATCATTTTGAGAGAAAACAAATACTATTGCTTAACGTTTTTTTATTCATCTTGTCAGGCTTCACTTTTTTATTTATTTTAATTCAATTTTTAATTTGAGTTATTTTTAAACAAATATAATTCGTTTTTCATAAACCATCTTAGATATCACCAAACTGTAAGTATTGATTGGTTTATACTATCAAAGTTTAATTTTACTAATTTTAACATTAATTTTTAAGTGTAATTATGTCACTCTGTCATTAATGATCTAACAAGATGATAACATATCAGTTATGCGCTGTGACATTATTGATGTGGCTGTCTCACCAAAACTACATCGTAACTTTAAGCATTACTTGTTTATATAATATTTTTTTAATTTTATCAATTTTAACACTAACATTTACTTTTAAGTGTAATTATGTTACTCCGTCGTCAATGATCTAACGAGATGATAACATGACATTCATGCACCATGACGTTGTTGTCATGGTTACTTCACCAAAATGACATCGTTTTGTTTAAAAAATTTTGGTAAAATATTACATTTGAGGTGTTTTGAACTCAAAATCTTTTGAATCAAATACCTAAATTTAACTACTATACCAACTTAAATTTTTGATATAATCTTACTAACATAATATGTATAATCCCGGTTATTTTATTCTTCTTACTCAACTCAAAATCCAAGATCAGAGCTCAAAAAAGTTCAAGTTTCAATTCCCCGAAATTATTTTTTACTCTTTGGAATGGAAAAAAAATAGGGTGTTTAAGAAATGGATGCCGAATCATGGGCTGTTCGTCTTTCTTCAGCTTCTATGAGATATCAATCAGCTATTCAATAACGATCTAGTAAGCTTTAAATATCCCATCTTCGTTTTTACTTCCATTTTACGGATAAAAAAACATATATATTTTATCTTCTTTTCTGTGTATAGTGGAAAATGAAGGATAAGGTAGTAACTTGATTTAAATCTATTACCGGAATATTAGATTTTAATGAAGATTTTGTTGCCTTTAATTATAAATGATTTAATGTTTGAAAATGGGTTCAAAATTCATGTGTTAATGGGGTTTGAAGAAATAGATGGAGAAGATGATATGAGAGGAATTTTCATGCCCTTTTTGTTCAGAGTATTTCGATATTGTTGGCTTGTGCTGTCACGTTGATGATGAACAATCGAGGGTATATTGGTTTCTTGTTCACCATCAATGATTTGTTTAAGATTTATGGATCCTAGTAGTTCAAAATTTCAAGCTTTTGCCAGGAAAGCTAAGAGCTCAAGTTTAACTGATCTGAAGATGTTTATTGACTCTAAATTAAGTTTGTGATGTTTTTTTGGTTCGTAGGTATGCCCGGTCTCCGAAATGAGGGTGGGGCTCGATATGGTTGCACATAAATCTGCTCCACGTGCTATCTGAGCGTGAGAATGGGAAGCCTGCAATGGTAAATGTAATAACCATTTTGTTTTAAATAATTAAATATTATTTAAAAAAACAGTTATGACTTTAATTTGGAAAATTTTGGTGATTTTAGATTAATTTGGATTAAATTGAAAGGGAGCTGACATCGACCTTTGGGTTAGGTAGGTTGAATACCTAAAAACGTCTTTTAAAAACAATTTTAAGAAAAAATGTTTTTTAAGACAAAATGATGGTCTGCGTCACCAAAGATTCGATTAAATGGATTCGAGAGTCGGTTACATTTGAGGAAGGATTAGCACCCCCACAACGCTAAAAACTGGTATTGTATCGCTTACATGTCATCGTAAATGGTGGGAATGATGAATCGAATATAAAGTTAAAAGATGATCCGTTTATTGAACATTGATTAATTTGCTTCGAACTAATTAATTAGAGAGAAAAATTTAACTCGATAAAAATCTTGAAATTAACAACCCTCCTTCGGGAAAGCTATTTCAACAATTTTTTTTATCAGTAAAAGATTATTCTCTCATAATTGATTGTAAAAAATGTGAATCGAATATAAAAATGAAAATCGATCTTTGGATAAAATAAATCGCTATTTAGTAATATGCATCACATTGTTCGAATTAAAATACGAGATGAATTAATTAACAAAATAAAGTTGATTTATTTTAAGTTCACATTTTT